CGGCAAATTTTGCAGTTATTTGTGTCCGTTCCGAAAAATTATCAACTTACCGATAAGGGTCTGGAAATCTTCATTTTGAGATCAGAAATCCTGAAATTGTAAGTAAAGAGTGGTACGAACTGATTGTACGATATCTTGCCTTGCAAATTATGATATTACCTTATTTTTGATGGATCACATTTTTTGATAATCAACTGTAAACCACCGTGCGTGAAGTTAAGTCTCATTGTTTTTATGACTTTTTAGATGCAGCGCGCGCGCGCACGATCGACATCAAATTTTAGATCGCGATATCTCTGAAATCCTTCGACGGTTAAAATTTTCTAGTTGAACCAATCTGTAGTAAAAAACTTTGCCGTCCATTTGGTAATAATTGAAATAAATAAAGTTGTGTAGAATATGAGAAATCATAGATCGAATATCAACATTTTGTAATATGTTCTAAAATGTCCACGAACTTTGGTCACCCCTTCATACATTAGTGGAATGTAGGAGAAAAAAAGCACATTCTTGAGGAATATTAGATCTCTGATGATCAATTTTAATTTCCTTCCTTTCATATTAATATTTTTCTTTTCTTCTATTCTAGCTGGAACAAAGCACGAAATTGCCATTACGAGGACGCCTCTCTCCTGTACCAAATATCGCCAAAACAAGAAGATTAAGCCTTAAAGAAAAAGAAGATCATGTAAGTATTTTTTATTATCAGTTATTATTATTTCATAATGTTTCACATTTATGGTACAAGTCACATAATGACCAAGAAGCTTGATAAATGTGTGTTTACAGGGGCAAAATAAGTCCAACCTAAAGTAACCTAATGATCTGAGTTTACAAATTTAGTTACTACTAGCAGAATTAGTTTGTAAACACTTATAGTTTAAACATATAAATAGAGTAGAAATATTTCAAGGTTCAAAGTAGAAATATATCTGGGTTAATTCCTGCTAAGAATGGGGGGCATGTATTAAAGAGAGATCTGTACAGTCAAACCTGCTTTAGTGACCACCTGTCTACAAAGAGCACCTGCCTATAAAGCCACATTTTTGTTTCCCTTGAAAATGGTTTCTCCTTGAAACATGTACCAAAGAAAACTGTACATAAACACCACCTACATGTACCTATAAAGACCACTTTTCTTGTCTCCCTTGGGTGGTCTTTACAGACAGGTTTCACTGTATAGTTATTGCTAACCCCCTGTCTCTTTTTCCAACAAAGAATGAAGAAGCGTCGCAGGTAGCATGGAGGACACCTAGCTCAACTCCCAACCTGATTGACGCTAAAGAGAGTTCACCTGGAGAGACTGCATCTAAGAGACCGACAGGGGGCTCTACTCCATCTCTTCTAGCTCCGGTCAAGCCAGGGCGGGGCGGAACATTAATGCAGACATCTGTCAGTTTCAACAAGCTGCAAGACAGTGAGTCTTACATTTTATTATAATTCTGTTCTTCTGATACTTGGTTGAACTGCTACAGAAAAAACTGTATTTTCTGTTATGGAATATAGGAAAAGATATTGATACAGGAATTTCCAATTATTCTGTAATGTCAGTAGATGTTTTTGTGTTGCTTGGATGTTGCTTTCATACAAATACTGCAATAGTACTTCTGTATGTACATGTATTTAAGTACCATAGTCATGTATAATGTAAGAATACCATACATGTATTTCAAATCATATTACAAACAATATGATGGAATGAATTTAAAACCGTTGTTACCATATTATGTGAAGTAGAGGTAGTTCTTTATCAAGCTGCTTCTACCTCAAGAGTTGGTATTTGCTTCTTCAAACAGAATCTCCTTTTTCTTTTTCCCAGGTGCATATGGTCCAAATACAAGTATGTCCCTGAAGAGGCTGAAAGGAAACACCAAACCTAAACATCTCAATCACAAACGTGGAACAACCTACCCTGCGAAGGTACTAAAACGTCACAGATTAAGCTTACTATGAACATGTTTGTTGTATGAACATGTATAGAGCTTGGTTGATATGCACTTTGACATTTACTTTAAAATAATGCATAAATGTATTTAGTTGATATGTATGATTGTAGTGATTTTGCTTGGGATACAATGTACTGTGTAGGATAGAGAATATAAAGTGCAATCACCTAAAAATGGGATTAAAGGGGTTAAAAACTAGCTGGTTTACCGAATGGGAATTAGAAAGATAATATGTTTATGAAAGAGAGATTTACATGTATGTGTTAGAGAAATTATATAAAAGGGAGGAAAAGATTAATATTGCCATATTTTTTTCTTCTTTACAGGTCACTCAAGCCAGCTGGAAGAAGATAGCGAACAAACAAGTCCCCTTTTTCCCATGTAATCACACTCGTAGTAAGACAATGCCTCTCCAGAACTCTCCCCTAGGAGCAAGGCTAGGTACTCAATATCAAAAGCTCCCAACACCGACCGGCTAAGAAATGCTAAGATCATGGCAGAGAAAGCAATGAAGGTAAATGCAGATTGAATAGCTAGGCAAGCATTATTTTGGTATCCATCTGTACTTAAAATGTTCAGTAGATGTACTGTTTGGTACCTTATAAATTATTTTGCAGATTCTTGGATAAGTTGGGTTTGTATTTTTTCTTTCTCAACTAAATTATGGCTTTCAATCATATGATCAGATGTTTTTTTTTTTTTTTTTTTAATGTCTTGATTACGATTGATCCAAATCAATCACAAGTCCTCCAATCAATCGCAAGTTTGCAATTGCCCATCTCTTAAGTACATAGTTGCGATTGATATCAACTCTCTGTAAGACGGTGCCCTTATTTTTAAGTCACAATATGGAATGTTTGTTTGCAGATGAATGAATAGGATCATGTTGTATATCTTCATTTATGTTTTTTTCCTGTTTATTTCTGCTAATCATAGATGAAAAAGATCTTCACCATCCAAGGTCCTTACCCAGTGGTCAGGCCAGTCTGATGCGCAGATCATGGGTGGAAAAAGAATATCGACTCATGAACCCACACAAGTATAAGAAGAAGAATGGAGGCGAGGATGACGATTAAGATCTGACGATGATGATGATATGGATGGTAAGCAACTCCTATAATTTGTAGAACATCATCATTTTTGTGAGCTCTTCACTGAATGGAAGTTTAGCATTGGTTGATTCTCCTTATTCAGCTTTAATTTAGATGATATAGAAGAGATTCACTTAATAGATACAATGTAATGTAACATCATTTTTTAAAGGAAATCCTAGCAAAAGCGTGTTTGCACTTTGAGACACCCTTAGTAAAATTTGTAAAAATTACGTATTCACGCTCTCTTGCCCTAGAGGGACATTGGCTGAACATGAGAGAGTGAAATTTAACAACTTTGCATCACAAATGGTTGTGTCTTAGCGAGATCAAATGATTATCAGAACACCTGTTTAATAAGATTTTAAAGGTATTTTGTCTCACTGAGATAAAATGAATTTCAAAAGTCCCGCCCCTTGACATTTATAGAAGGTCATAACCCCTTATAACTTTCACTGTTCATAGACTGTGCATTGTGTGTTGTGAACAGGAAGCTGTTATCTCATGTCACTTTGTACACTGAGTTGATTGCTCTTCTTAGTATTTGCAGACATCATGTAATATCTCACCGTAGACCATTACATTTTATGCATTCCCAAATACATTATGCTTTATTCCTTCAGATGACAATGCTTGTGATGATGGCAATGATGATGCTTTATTCACTGATCCTAATGGTGCTTGCGGTATCATGGTAAGTACTAATAACAATCTTTATTTAAAACATATAATTTCTATCTATAGTAGAAATATAAAGCATTCATTACAGTTTAATTTGATGGCTAATACCACTCAAGATCCCTATTTGACATCTCCAGACTCTTGTTGGAATGGAAGTCAATAAACAAGTACTGATACAGTCAAACCTGTTTTAGTGACCACCTGTCAACAAAGACCTCATTTTCTGTTCCCTTGAAAATAGTTTCTCATTGAAACATGTAGGCCTACTAAAGGAACCTGTCTACAAAGACCACTTTTTTTGCATTTCCCTTGGGCGGTCGCTATAGACAGGGTTGACTGTAGTAGTAAGAAGAAAAAAACAACCCAAATTTCCTTTGAATATAGTTTTGTCCATGCTCTTTATGAACAGGGTGCTCAGCAGATGTTTTGTAAGGAAAGCTTCTGCAACGTTGCAATGTGTAAAATGGCTGACATGGCATAAAATAGTGAACTTGTCCATGGGATCTGCATGTATTCTGAAACTGTAGTGTCAATTAAAAATGAACAATTTCTCGGCCACACAATAACTGTACAATGATCAAGAGTAATGTGGTATAGAAAGAAAACCCTCTCACTGAGCTACACGTACTGCACTTGCTTACCATCTTATCATTTGTTGAATTACTTGTCATTTCTACAGTCAAGAATTGTTCGGAATGCCACCCCATCATTTCTGTGGACAGTGCGTAAGGGAGCTGTAGATTACAAACTATTGAGAAAGGACACAATTGTCAACCATTTCTGCAAGAATGGAACTTTCACAACAAAGGTAAGCAATGAACAGTAAAAAATCTGTTTTAAAATGATGTCTTTTTTAATAAGAAATGTAACACCTGAACTCAGTTAAATGAGTTGCAGGTCATTATACAATTGAAAATATAATCAGCTTTTATAATATCAGTATGATGTAAGTTCATTTTGATATTTGACAATTTGTTCTTGATGATGATAATGATACTGATGTCAAATAAGAAGCTTATCAACAGTTGGTCAGTGATTGAATTAATAGGTAACTGACCATGGTAAACCATAATGCATACCTCTCCGTTATGCTACCAGAGCTGCTATTGACAGTCCTCCAACTCTTTAAACTTTGGAACAAAAACAAGTTACAAAATATATGTCTTGTGCAGTTGTAAAGGTACTCTAGTTACTTTTTTTCTTGCACATGCATATTTTGGCCTCAATTTTCTCATATTTTCTACCTTTTAATGTAACATATCAACAAAATATGAAGGAAAACAAAATGAGTGTTGTTAATTGTTGATATGCCTTCACCATTGCAGGTTGGTCTCTGCCTTAGTCTGAAGAATCTTCCTTGGTTTGAGGAGAGAGAGGCAGAAACATTCTTACCTCGATGCTATAGGATATGTGCAGATGAAGAAAAGGAGGCATTCGTAGGTAAGAATTGGTTTGGAAAAGAGCTCTTCGTTGACTACAAAGAACCTCAGAAAGGAACAAAAATGACATGCTCTGTGCTAAATTGGACTTTAGGACACATGAGCATACGTGAAGTTTATATATACCATATATAGTGTGTATCAATTTTTTTCTAAGAACTATTTGGGAAGGCTGTTCAATGGATTCTATTTGGATGTTTGGAGTTAAATCACAGCATTTTATGCTAGAGGTGTTGTGGTGTAGTAGATACTGTCACTGACTGTGGATCACATGGTCCATGTTCAAATCCCAATGAGGCACTTAGTCTTGTGGCGAGGCACTTATGTCTTGTGGCGAGACATTAATCTGCATTTTCCACACTCGACACACGTGAGGTAAATGGGTACCTGGCAGGAATTAATTCCTTGAAATTCCTGATTGCCATAATGGCAGCCATACTGAAGCTAGGGTCATAATTGTGGAGCGCCAGGAGTGTCAAGTCTGACAGACAAGAGCACTTTACAAGAACCCACTATCATTATCATTATCATTTGTCTGTGCATTAAATAGCTTTGTGAACAAAGTCTTTAATTTTTTTTTAAATGATTTCTTAAAAAAATTACATATGGTGTAATGGGAAACTTCATTTTGTATTATTTGGCAGATGACTACAGGGTATCAGCTGCTATCGGTGTGTTGAAATGGATTGTCATGAAACAAGATGGAGACCTAGACATTGACCTGACAGAAGAAGAAGAGAACAAAGAAAGTGACAAAACAGAAGAGAACAAAAATATTACAAGTCCGAGAAATGGTAAAAATAAGTCTGTCTGATCAAAAAGCTTATATTTATTTGATTGTATATCAATGCAGCGCAATGCATGAATGTCTCTTATACTTGAGTGCATGTCTCTCATTTATTTCTTGATATTAATGGGAATAATTCAAAGAATGATTATATTTTCCTGTTATAAACTTTTTACATCAATCACATTCATTCATGTCCTTATTAGAATAGCTTTTCAATTTGCTTATTGTGCAGTTTGCTTGATACTACAAATTATGTTTAAAAAAAATTTCTTTCCGCTTCAAATTTGTAAAAATATCAGAGGGTAGGGTTTGTTAAGTTAGCATTTTCATTGCAAATGTTTAAAAAACCTTTCAGTCAGAAAATATCTTAGAATCCATGAATATTTTCATTCTACATGTAATTGCTAATTTTTCTGTGTTGCAGGCAAAGCTTTGAAAGCCAGAAAGATACCAGTGGTATTAGGAAACACCATTTGTAAACATAGCCATCAAGATTGTTGAAGACTTCCTCGCATCTCATGAACATGATGATATAGATGAGGATCTCTCACCTTTATTAACTGATGAGCAGTGGGACAAATTCATTACAGAGTACTATCAGCTGACAAGGTAGATTGATGTTAATTTATTGGCTTAGATTCAAGTTAGCGTTAGTTCCAAAGGCAGTATTTTTCGCTCAAGAAAGATAATGATAGGCAGTGGTAAAGCTATGGGCGTCACAAGAGGACAAATGACCACTCCCTTTGAATGGCGAAAGAAAGAAAGGAGAATGAGAAGGAAAGGGAAAGAGAAAGGAAGAGAGAGAGAGAGATAGAGACAGAGAGATGGAGATATGAGGGAGAGAGATTGGAAGGGATTAAGGGAAAGTAGCTTGCAAATAAGATGATTAGACCCTTTACCACAGTCTGCAAATCATATTGTGAAAGAAATGATCTACTGAATATCTATTGGCATTGTCTTTCAAGTATAGATGACATCTGAGTTTATTTTTCATGTTGATTCTAGACATTTACGTGTCAGCCCAAGAGTTAATCAGGCCCTTTCACAACATCAATCACTTTCTTTTTACATGAAGCTATTTCCTGCTTGTTAGCTCATAGTATATCATTTCTCTCTTGGCATGTTGGATAATATTATTGTTTCATCAAGACATAAGTCGAGTTTCAAGTATATTTGCCTTCTTTTATCTCCCATCCACAGTGAACGAGGGAGCATTGATGATGTCACCATGCACTATGTATACTGTGAGAGCCTACTGAACAGACTACGATCAATACTACCTCAGCTCGACATGCAAGGCCTTAGAAACATCTGGATTGTAAAACCTGGTGCTAAGTCGAGAGGCAGAGGTGAGCCTTTCAACAATTGAATTCCCCTCTTATGTTGGTTAATTATTTCAAATATTTTAGAAGAAAAAAACAATGCAAGAACAAACAAAAAACACAAATAACACAAAATCAAGGAAAGCTGTAAAGGTACTATGTCCCATTTGCAGGCCCTAAACAATGAAAAGGTTAAATTCCAACGGCATTTGAAAGATAATACTAATTTAGAACTTCCCTAAAAAAAAGGGGGCGTGAAAATGTCTTTAAGTGGGAAAATAATGACTATTAGTTGTCGAATCGACTTAGGAGCTATAGAGCCAGTAAGTAATAGTCTGATTTTCAGACCATTGTACCGAATAGTCGTACGTTTTATGCTGCGCAAAGATTCAATCAGTTTAAATTTGGACATTACAAGAAGTGGGTTATTGAAGAAATACAGCCAGTCAGTCACTCAATAGTGTCTGACAGTGAAGTCTAGCAAGTAAACGGGTTTCCTTGCATAATTTGAATATTAGGACACTGCTAACGTTTAAAATTTCACAGATAGTAGGAGTCCTGCAAAGTTCTACAGAATTTGATGTTGGCTGCGAAAGGGACATAGTATCTTTAAGAGACAAAGTTGTTGAATATAATAAATTGTCATATATGTGGTTGTACATTTCACCGTTAGTGATTTTCACCAAACTATGTGTATTCATAGTTCTTATATTTGTTCATGTAAAACAATCCCAAATTTCATTTCCATGAGAATTTACATGCACTTCATAATTTACAATTCAGAATAACCCAATTGAAATCAACTTTGACAGCAAGAACTAACAAACCTTTCAATCTCACCAGGTATCATGTGCATGAACAAACTTGATGAGATCCTGAAGCTGGTTGGTAACCCGATGGTCAAGAAAGAAGGGAAATGGATCGTCCAAAAGTATATAGAGCGCCCTCTGTTGATCTACCAGACAAAGTTTGACATCCGTCAGTGGTTCCTGGTCACCGACTGGAACCCTCTGACTATCTGGTGGTATGATGCTTGCTACCTCAGGTTCTGCACCCAGCCTTTCTCCCTTGATGACTTGGCCCAGTAAGTCTTGAGCAGAATCTCTCTATATACCACTTAATTAACAAGTGTTTTTAAGTTGATGGAGAGTTTCCTCCAAGTGCCTTTAAACTATTAGATTCACATGTTTGGAAATTAAATATATTTGTTCATTGTACTCTTACCATTAAAATGCAGGTTGATTCATTGTTTGTATGTCAATTCAAAAGGCAATGTTCACAATGTACTGAACCAAATCTAATGCATACATCTTTCACCTGTTGAACAAATAGTTGTATTTCAATAGCCAGAATGCAAATTGCATTTATGTGTTGTTAAGTAGGGAAAGCCATAATGTTTTCCCTACCTAGCAACGATTAATGAATGCAATTTGCATTTTGTACTATTCCTATTTAATAATATATAATATAACAGGTCAATGTAATAAGCTTGTTGCTAGGCAAATGTGTAAGAATTTGAATACATTTTGAAAATGGTGTCTTTAACTTGAGATGCTAAAGTATGTGCATATACTAAAAGGTAATCTACATCTTGAAATCCCTAGCAAGATACTACATATGAGGATTTTTGTTAAAGCGCACTGATTCATTTTAAATTTCTTATCCTAAGGGCTAGCTACGGTAAGCTGCTTTGATTGACAAATAGGAAATTTCTTTTCCTTCATCTAATGATTGTGTAGACATATGGTTTATTTTCTTGGTTAAACCATATAAATGTTATGTTCATAACGTTCTGTATTTTGATTTCATACATATACATAGCAAGTAACTCTATCTCTCGTTTCTTTGCAGATCTATCCATCTATCCAACCAGTCCATTCAGAAGAACTACGACAATGCCGTAGAGCGTGATGAGAACCTGCCATATGATAATATGTGGGACAGTGACACCTTCCGCAAGTACCTGGATGATCGTGGGTTTGAGGGTCTGTGGGAGAGTGTGATTGTACCAGGCATGAAGAAGGCTATTGTTGATAGTATGCTCTGTGCACAGGATGCCATGGAGGCTAGGAAGGTGAGTTAGAAAAAGCTCGGTATTCCTAACTATGAAAGAAAATCTATTGATAAGGCCACTATATGTTATATATTAAACCAAACATATGTGAAGGGTTAGATAGGAAAGGAAATACTCAAATGAATAGTTCTGTTAAAATTATGGGGTTATATTATATATCTATAATCTTGATATACAAGAGACCAAAATTACTAAGAATCAGGAAGAGTTGTGTGACTGTTCTAACATCGCCTTTTCTTGGATGTGATTAGAGTCATTTATTGAGCATGATATTTAGAAATTAATGTGAAGAGCCCTTCGATTTTCTATTATTAGAATTAGGAGCATAAAGAGAGATGTGTGTTCAGAATAGTATCTATGGTTTTAACATAGTTCAATTTATTCTACACTGCTGCAGTATAGATTGATTTATTTGGTACAAAGTCACTTTGTTATACTTTTATGTGGATTTTGCATTTGTCATAATTTTCATTTTTATATATTATTTCAAAATTCTTCTTAGAATTCCTTTGAGCTGTATGGGGCTGACTTCATGTTGACAGACGATTTTCTGCCATGGATGTTAGAGATCAACGCTAGTCCTGCCATGGGCGCCTCCACACCAGTCACAGAGGAGATGTGTGCTTCTGTGATAGAGGACACAATGAAGGTTGTTCTGGATCGCAGGCATGATAAGAACTGCGATACTGGTAAATTCCAGGTCCTTTTCAAAGGGGTAAGTGTCTAATGAATAGCCTTAAATTATTCTGTGCATGCCACCAAATTATTGAAGATCTGTCATGAATAATCTCTCAACAGTTGATTTGTGACTTTCAGTATTTTGCTTCATATTTAAGTAAGGCATAACAATATCTTACATCTTACGTCAAAGTGATTGTTTCAGGAAGGAAAATGTATCATTATAAATTCAAATAGATTGTTGAACACTTCATTTCTTGGACAGGATTCGCCACCATTCCAACCTTAGAGGTTGATGGAAACCTCACCCCAAAGAAAAGTGTATGTATGCTGACAGATATGAATTATTCCTGCTGATTGATGTACAATATTCCTTACAAAAGTCTACAAGAGATATTTAAATGAAGATATTCTTGGTATGTTGTGATGTCTTATAGAACATTTTCATGAAAGATTAGACACTTGTACTGAATCAATGGATACCACGCACAGTCCTCGTAGTTACAACTGTGCTTTAACGATGTCATACTTTCATTCTTTCTACAGCCGAGTGTTAGTGTTCCACCCTACATTGGGTCGTCCGTCAGCGTGGATGGCGTTGGCGTGCGACGACCAGTGACAATGAATCGGCAGAAGAGCATCAACAACATAATCAGTCCTCGTCCTGAGGCTGAGAGAAAGTCTGATCCTCAACGCAGCAAGACACCAGGAGGAAAGATGGAGAAGACGAGTGCGTTCCAGAAGCTGGGACTGAAGACAGGTGCAACACCAAGGCTACTACTATGGAGGACATGAAGAAGAAACTAGCAGGTATTGACAAAGTGCATGTGTTTGATAGTACATGTAGTAGTATTAACGGTTGTGTTAGTAGTAGCACTAACAGTTTTCATGGAAAGAAGACAAAGCGACTGAGAGGCAGGAAGATGAAACCCAAGACTGATGACACGATGACCAAGAACGTCAGTACGGCCACCAAGACTATCCATTTACCAAGCCTGCAGTACAAGCCATCGGGTGACGGGAGGGAAGAGTTGAAACCAACACAAGTGATGGTCAGATCTGCAGGTGCGGGAGGGGACAGTAAAGCGAATGTTACATCTGAGGTGTCTGACGGCTGTGAGAATAACTGTGATACATTCAGACATTATACAGTGAAGAGTACAACCCAGCTGCAAGGAAGCTTCCAAAGAGGGAGCTACCATCATCACGCGTGCGAGCTCCCACGGTAGGAGACTACGAGATCAATCTCCAAAAACCAAAGTTTTCAGACAATGAGGGCGCCCTTGTCAAGCAGGTCAGATCAGGAGTTCTGAAAGTTAAACTGAAGCTGCAGCATACTGGCCAAAGCTCTGAGCTTTCACCGAGCTTAGGAGGTGCCTTGACAGAATCAATGGACTCCTGGTGTAGCACAACTATTTGAACTTTGACATTCAACCTTTGATCCTTGCCAGACAGCCATGTTCTGTGTTTATATGTTGCACAGCTTTACAGCAAATCATACAAAAACACACATTTAGAAACGTATTCGTTGTAAGAAATTGGAATTCTTGTAAGTACTTTGAAAAATCTAGTCAATTTAAACAATAATTAAATGTTTGACAGGATTTCTTCCATATAGAACATCGTAACTGATCAATTCACATCATATTGGAAGCAGTACTAAGTACTGATAAAATTGATGCTGCATTTTTTAAATATTTGTTTTGATGTGTTGTACTACTTTTATTGAAAGTCTCACCATGTGACAATTTTTGTTGTCATCCTTGTTTTTGTATGTTAAGATGTGTATATACTTGTTTATGTTGTAAATGGGCCTTATGGAAGACCACTTTTAAACATGAAATGGGCCATCCTAGTTAGGAATAAACAAATGTATAGAGAATGAACAAGATAAATGCATGAATAAATAAATGAAGATACAAATAATTGAATAAAGAAAGAAAAATAGAAATCTAGAAATACTGAACAAAGATAGACAATTAAAATTGTATATATAAGTGATTGATTCCAGTTTAGCTTAAAGAGAAATAAGACAATTATTTCATGGAAAGATCAAAGCTCTGTAGCCCTCAAAGTGAGTGGGTCAGACAGAACAAAGTATATTTTTATAGGAACAATAGCTAGGTTGGACAAATCTAACATAACCAGTTGGGAGATAAAGAAAAAACATTTCCATAGAAAGTCATAAAGTGTGTGAAGATGACATTGTGTGTGGATTGAATAATATTGATTTTTTTTTTATAATGACAATAGAAATTTGAACTTGTCCATTTCCATATTAATTCACTTTTGAAGTATAATTGCAAAACTTCAGATAAAATCTGCGCAAGACATCTAAGAAAGCAATATTATTATATATCAAGGAAATGTTTTGAAGTGCAATATTTTGTATGGTCTATTTTCGTAAGAACTATTTTGTAAAATGTAATATCATGTATATATATGGAAATCCCAGCATTCACCAAATGGTTGGGATGTTTCTGAATTCATATATGTTTGTATTGTATGTGTTGAACCCTGTATCATTGCCATACCATTATTATACTTGATATTTGTAGAAATCGATGGTATCAATTTTTGTTTATTCAGGTATAAATAACAATGTATTAAAGTATAAACAAGTACACATCTTTCTAAGCCTCTTTTTGGTTGAAGATACAGAAAGATGTTATGTAAGTATGGTGATTTACACACAATGCACTGATTTCACCTAAGCAGTGCTTGAACATAGAGAAATCATAAAGTTGGTACTTGTTTGAAAATACAGCATCTGTTTAAATGTCTTTGAACTGAAAAAGTTGCAGTACAAAATCACCCCCTCCCCCCATTTTTTGTATAAAGTTTAATTTTTCCACAGACAAATTTACCTCCTTATACATGTTTTGTTTAAATCATTTATGAATGACACGTATCCATGTAAAAATCCAAGGTTTGTTTCTTCCACAACAAACTAATCATTTTTCCTTCCGTATTTTTTCACTTGCTTTTGCCATTGTTTGGCTGGGTGATTACATATGATCACATGACTAACGTAGGATCTATGAGTACTGTACAGGTAACCAGTGATTTGGTTTTTTGGATTGGTTTGTGTGCAGTTTGGTTTCATTCAATTCAGGGGCTCTTCAAGGTTTCTGCACATACATGTATTACATAAACATTATCACATCTGTTCAGAGGCGGAAGGGCATTAACTTTGTCTGGCTCCAGACGAATATTTCATCATCCACAGAGCTACAAGATAACGATGGTACAGTGGACCCCACATAATCCTAAAGCTCTTTTCCTGGCATTTCAATCTAACGAATTGGAGTTTAAGAATTTAAAGTATAACAAAAGAAAGGATTGTAAAGGTTGAAAAATAAAGAAGATTCCTGGAGGATGGAATTAAATGTTTTCCCAATAGACAAGATAATAAAAGGCAGTAACTGATAATTTTGTTATGGCAAACCAAAAAGTTTGAAATCAAGATATAAGGTATTTATCAGGTTTTATAAGTAAAGTCGTGAAATAGATGAATTAACCAACCTGTTGAAAAAGAGGTTCCATCATAATTTATGAAATTCAAAGACAAGGGAATAATTAAAAGCGATATTCTTACATACCAAATTGATTTAATGCTGTTAGTGGGCTCTGAGATTTAAAAACAACTATTAAAAGAGAACAAAAAAAATCAATAAATGACAATACAAAGAGTTCAGTTTTGGGGCGAGATCTGGAAACCACGTTATTCCTTTCATGTCTGCCATGCCGTTCACATTGTCGTGTCTTTGGTAACAGGATCATGTGCACCTTCACAATCACACGTTTGAATATCACTAGTATACTCTCCAATCATTCTTAGCACACACACAGGAGAGTGGGATATTAAAGTATCAGGCTCTTTTCAAATTGCATTGTTAATTATCATTGCCCATATATCCACCTGCACCCACTGGTTACCTGCACAATGTCACACTTGTCCAGTCCTGCCTATCATACTGAATGTAAGACTGCATCAATGAACATCCAAGTCGTTATTTGGCATTAATCATAACAGTCCTTCATGTATATGCATATTGAATGTTGATGGTAATTCCATATTACAGTGTCTCTGTTTTTTAAATATTATATGTATATGTACATTTAAATGTAAGAGTGTATGATGTATATATCATGTACACATTTATACACAATGCATTTGTTGGTATATCAGTGGAGTGAAGGCATGCACAATTTATATTTTAGTATCATGAACTGCACTGGGTCTGTGAACTATTGGTTGTGAAAATGTGGAAGGTCTTTTTACTTTTCTGAGACCAACTATTCTTTTCCCTTTTCTGAGACCAACTATTCTTTTCCATTAAACTTTATTCGGAATTCAGTTTATTCCACTTTTTGCATTTCTGCTGAGATACATATACCAATCAATAATCAATAATCGATAAGATTATATTTCTCTCTAATCGTACCCCAAAGATGGAAGTTTACTCCTCAAATTTATAGTTGAAAAATTATAATTTTAGTGTCAAGCTTTATTAAGGAGTGCGAATTGAATGATTTCTATTTATACTTTTGAGTGATGTAGAATGTATAGGTATTATAGGCAGCATAGATTTGAAATCTGAAGTTTATTATTAGACCTGACATACCACATGCCTATATCAGCATTCATTGTATCTTTAATGATTCACTGATTCTTGATAAATCATAGCTGTTACTGCCACAACTGTAATTGTTTTCTTATAATAGTTTTTATAACGCAGACAAATATGTTGTTTCTCTTTCATGACACATTAAAAACTATTTGAGGTTATATTTTCAAATTTTGAATGTTCTCTCCGCTATGTAGGAGAACTTAAACAAAGATACCTCATTATTAGTGTAATGAAACACTTTAAGAAATCCTAAGCATGAATACATGTAGATGTATGCCAATTGCATGCTGGATGCATAATTCACATCCTTACCCCAACATATATACCATTTAATCCTTGTTATACATTCCATTTTATATACGCAGTATGTTATCTTGTTTATCATGTTCAAAGACAGCAACTGAATTTTGATTAAAGAAGAAATATATCTTTAAAGTGATTGATTGTACAGAGAAGCATTCATTTTGTGTCCATTACTCATGATGAATACATGAACATCAGACCAGTTTGTCCATATCACTATTGTTACATGTAACTAATTATTATAACATTCCAACAATTGGCCCAGGTAATAATACATTTAGACCGTTTCAGAAGAGTCAGAGCAGAATCGTTCTGAAACAGAAATATGAAATTAATTATTAAACTTAAACTCCATTAAGTCCATTTTGGGTTTCATTTTGTCTGCCCATGAATACAAATGAAGCCCTCCCTTTCTTCCCATCCAATATGATATTTCTTGTGATTTCATGTCTTGTTGTATTGTGTATTTATAATGCACTTTTCATCTTTGTTGCTTGCATGTTCATTTGTGATTGGGATTTCCGGGAAAATTATTTATTTATATTTTGCTTGTTTACTCTTTAATTTGCAGCATATTGTGAAAATGGTATTTTGTTCATGCTGTGCTTGCATCCCAATCTGCATTATTCTTTTTGAATGAATTAATATGATATAGTCTTGACTAAAGTCTTGACTGTGTTTATTATCTAAGCCTTAACATATATTTCTCTTTATGTACACTTGTGTAAAGAAGCACAAAAAGCTCATTATATGCAATATTACACATTGCTTGAAATAAAGTAGACACACTCACTGGCCTCACACCAAAGTCACAGTGTGAGAGTTTCTATTTTTTGTCCTGTATTCCAGTTGGTCAAACGCTGCACAAAAATGTATATCAGTGTAATATATCATATCTTTGTCTTAAAAGGAGCTCAAATGCAAATGCAAATGCAAACCCAGCACCTGCACTGTATATGCATGTAACATCACACAATATTTTCCTTTAACTGAACTAGAGGACTGAACAAAGGAGGGAGGGGGGCAAAGCTTTTCAATATATGTCCATATTGACTATATGAATGGGATTATAAAGGAAAAAGCTACACACACAAAAAGAAAATAGAGAGACCCCCCCCCCCCCCAAGAAAAAAAAGAATGAAAGAAAAATGACTGTAACAAAGAAATTATGTAATCAAACAATTTGAATAACAAATAAAACTTGTATCCATGTGCTAATTTAATTTTCACTTTTAAACATTTTCAATATATATTATCATTGATAATTGGGGTAAGGAAGCCATCCTAAATGTTTTTCATTTGTGCTTATTTGCCACCATTACTAACTCTGTGCTTGTGTTTTTTGTTGCTCTCTTTCTTCTTCTGCTTTTCTTCTTTCATCTCACCCTCAACATCCATTCCTCATCCTTATCCATCCATCCATCTCAATCATTCCATTCTATGGCTCCCCTCCCTGACCCTGTTGCTATGCTCCTATCACTCCTGTGCTGATCTGCTCATCTGATGTGGACCATCCCTGCATCCTCCATGGTTGCCGTGGTAACAGTATCGCCTTCAAAGCCGCAAGATCTCCCAGCAGCTGGACAACATGAAGCAAGAAATTGCTTGTCTCGCCAGAGTAGTACGTACTGTTCAATCTCTTTCTCATGACCCCGCCAAAGACAATCGACAAGAAATTATAGATTTATTGAAAGCACAGTCACATTTATTTAGAAGGAAACCCCCTTAAGGGATATAGTCAAACTTCAATGTATTGTTTGTAGAAATTATTTGAAGTGGCATGTTAATTCAGGTCACAATGGGAATTCATTAAAATACATATTTGACTGTATTATTTCTATGAATTTCTGAGAAGTTGTGCTCTGGTCTTTACATTTTTAAATAATCTTCCATCAATGTTAATGAACATTCTGTATAGGTTATTATTACTTGCCCAAAAATGTCTTGAGTTAATTTATCTCAACATTTAATGAGATTTGTTTATATCATAGGGACAATACGAGTCATGTTTGTATATACTTGTGTATGCCATGAATATGATCATATTTTTGTGAACTATGTGAGATGATTGAAAGTATACAATAACACAGTGAATTATAAAAAGAACACAATTGATTTGAAAATTTGTTCATGTAAGAACACCCTTTTTCTGTTTAAAAGAGCATAGGTTCATATTGACACACTGTATGCGTTCGCAGTATTCAATTTCATGTATGTTAGATGCACATAAATTCAATCTCAAGTATAGTAAAGAATGATATTTCAAGTCTGTATGGAGGTCTAGTGATCCTGATTATGAAAAACCTAATAACATCAACCAAGTTTATGGTGCCATATTACTCTGACCATTTTGTTGTTGTTGAAATGTTAATAACCAGAAAACTGCAGATGTACTACGTACATTGAATGAAAAGAGTTGATTATTGATGTAGATTTATTATGTACCGATGAAGATATTTCAGGGAATACTCCTTTTTCATTTACATTTTAAAACAAAACGCACTTCCCAAGTTTATTCTATCCTAGCAACAAATTATGCATTGCAAGATGCATTGCAAGTATATAATTAGATGTCGGTGCTATGTTCGCGAGAAAAAAAAAACTTTATTTGAACACATAAATGCCTGTACAATGTGCATCATGAAAGTGCTACTTATGTTATTTAATGTTTTTCACTATCATTGGGAAATGTTGGTGCTCATTTCATTGGATTATAGTTATATGTAATATCATTGTAGTATTTTTATGCTCCATTACTTGTGAAACATAGATTGACAGTTAATTGAATATATCAAGTATTCAATTAACTGTCAATAGATTGACAATTATTTTTTCAATCGATTAAGATTCAAACAGATCTTTCTGTTTCATTGACAAAAGAAATCACCCACCGTCAAGGCCAAAAAAAAGAGATCCTTCACCCTGCACTGGTTTATCATTTTCATTCATTCCTGGGAATGTTGGGTTCTTCTTCTTACTCTATAATTCAAAGACTTAATGAAGTACCAAAATACAGTCTGACCTGCTATACATGATAATCTGTTTTTCTCCTAAAGAGGAAATATGTATGTCAAAACATGTGAAGAAAAGCTAAACTTCTCTAGTCCACCTCCTTGAAGGGGCCAAGGCGCACTAGAGCTGTTAATAACATGGATTCCAAGCAATTTCAATGACTGGCTCTTGTGATAAAATACCCCACCAAAATCCAAGCTTGGCCTTTGCTTGCGCAGGCAAATTTGAGCCTAGCAGGGTTTGGATACTGTACATATATACCACCGATTCCTTGAACAATGCCATTTAAACTGCATGTCAGGTGTTGAATTTTCATATAAAGTTAAAATGCTTGTTTCTTTGATAAAATTTGACTTGAAAGATATTCCCATGAGCATAAACTTTACAACGAGCCAACCTGTTTCTACCTCAAGACAAAACATTTAGCAGATAAGTCGGCTCTCAAATTCTTGGCAGGATTTGCTGCCCTTGACATAAAAGGGGTAGATAGGCAGGTTTGGCTGTAGACAATTCGTATTACTTTGAATCCTTGATTTGGAACATGAACTCACCAGTAGTTCTTATTTTGTTTCCCATACTAATTATTCGTTTTGTCATGTATCTCAATGTCTCTTCTCTCATCCATTTCACCTTTTGTTTGTTTACCTTTGTCAAAAAAATGTCTTTCTTCTCTACCATGGTGATGATACACCTTATCTTTATTCTCTGATACTATTTTCAAACTATCATTGTGCCCCCTGTGCTCTCATATGCACTCCATCATGTATTTGTCTTCATTTTTCTCTTTCCATCTCTCCGTCTCTCCTTTTTGTGTGTTCCTGCAAACTTCACTACATCACTAAACACTGCAGGAAGTTCAATAGATGGTGTTTGGAGCAATACTTGCACTCAATGTGGTAACGGGCGTGGTTACATTCTTGACACCTCCCACCAATCACAGGTATGCGACTGCCAGCGGGGTAGTCTGGTGGTCCCTGACGCGCACCTTGATGAACCGCGTCCTTCCTCTCGTCCATCCACGGCCATACTGCGGCTCACCATGGTAACCACACCCAGCCCTCCATCTCAAGGGAGGTCCATCACACCTCGTCGTCTCTCCCATCCCAATCTAGGCGTGGCTTTGGGCGTGGCATCCAACCCGCTGCAAACTACAATGTTTATTAATGACAAGGTTTTTGAACTGTCTTCTAGTCAGAATGACCCATTACCCAAGGCAATTAATTATATCAGTGACTCTGTTGGGCAGTTGGTGACACTGAATGATTCAGCAGATCTCTCGGGTGTAGCTCGACCAGGAAGATTAGGCTTCTCTCAGAGCAGGACTAGACCCAATGTTAACAGGCAAAGGAGAGAGAACCTGGCCTTTATGAAGGCTAATGGAGAGCTACGATCTCCAGGACCAATGCCAACTGTCCTTACAAATGCTAGGAGGTAGCCGATCGTTAGCTTTTTCTTAAAGCTTCCTACTTTCATAAACATTCCTGAAATATCTATCAGAAACAAAGCAATGTTCTCTTTAAAAGACAGTATAAGTTCAAAAGAAATGCTTCCAAATTGAAATAGGTGTCTTGGGAATAGTGATTTTTATGTTATTTAAATATGCAATCAAAGTGGATATTGAAGAATAACGATAGGATCATGTGGGAATCATGTTATGATATCTGTATGATTACTTCTGCCACAGTTCCGATTGAATCTGTTAAAGTGATTGCACAATGGGTTGATACGAGTGAAAGAAAGATCAGTGCTAGAGTTTAAAGGAAATATTAAAGTTGTTCTGAAATTATAATTGTGAATAAGTACATATGTTTAGAATTAATTATCTGGAAGTTAAAATTTGTAGAGACCTGCAGTGTATCTTGTAACAGTTAGAGCACATTCTGGGTAATCCTAGGAAGGGAAAAGAAGAGGGTGAAACTTAGAGTAGAGAAAGGGGTGGGGTGGGATAGAAGAATCAGGATGTGTCAGATTGGATCAAAGCTTCAATCTTTGAGTGTTACATGTACAGTGTTTAAGTTAACTGCAAGTCTGGCCTCTAGAAATAATAAACTTCTTTCTTCTGTTCTATGAAAGCAATTTAAATTAGTCTGAATTATGAAGACTACTCCCTTTTCCTTTGGTAGTGAAAGGAACTGTCTACATGGTCGTCATACAGAATTTATGACACATACATGTATTTGTATTTATAAGTGGGAATTATACTGCTAGGAAAACGGAGGTTACCATTGTATAGTAAAACAAACTATTGTTTATGTAAACTTGTGCTTTTTTTCCTGGGAAATATTATATAGCAAGCTGTTGATCAGCTTCTGTCATATTCTAGATTTGTAGGAAATGCAGTGAGTTTGCTGATCAAGTCTTTCATTGATATATCAAATGTATTGATTTTCATTCTGTGTATGAAATATATCATGTATAAAATCATATTTGATATTGTGTGGTCACAATGTTATTTAGACTAATTTGTTTTTACGTAGAATATTTGCTGCACACTACGCATATGAAGACTCTTGTACTAAGCTTTTCATGAATAATGCTATGCACCTTTACACAATTTGTGTGTACATGTCAGTTGTAGGGATATTAGAATGAAAATCAAATTTTCATCGTGTTAGTGTTTATGAATGAGAGAGTAACCAAAGGCAGCAGCCTTTATACAGAGAATATCATGAAGATCAAATCAAATGACCTTCCTGTGTAACATTATCGGAGTACTTTGATGTGAATGGTAGTGTGCAAACTTCATCCACAAGTGACGATTCTTATCAAAAATTTACCAAAATAGATTTAAAATCAGATCAGATAGGGAAAACGGTATTAAGGTATGACAAGGTAGTGCAATTCATCGATCATTAAGATGGCAGTCATTTGTCTTTTGTATTTTCCATCATACTCACTTTGCTCTCTCACTTCTGGTTAAAGTTCTCACATTATTTGCATGTACATGTACATTGGATTCTACTGTTTGATAATAATTCTGTCAATTTTATCATCAATGTATGTCATGACAACTTTGAAAGAGCATACACTGAACAAATTTCTTGTATCAAAATCAAAGACAATCTTTAGTACCATGTCACAGCCCGATAAGAACTGATAATGTGTGATTTGTGATCAAAGTAATGTTCAGTGGTCCTATAGAGGTTTACAGCTAAATTCTTTCTGAAGATATATTTTTTGTTTACTACTTTTTGTGACTGTAATGTGCAATGATATTGTGCCTGGCTGCAATATACTGTAATTTGTAATGAGTTACCACTGAAGTTTGTACTTTCTTTTATTTTGTAATAAAGCACAGATCAAGTATTGATATAAAAGGAAGTCTTATTTTGATTTATGAATCAAATTATGTTTTCAGATCGAGATCTAGAGGTGCTACAGATTCAAGAAAGGGTAGTGGCAATATTTAAAGCAACAGGTGAACCAAGAAGGAATGGAAGGAGGGATACAGTGCAATGTAACCAAAATAGAAAGGAGGATAATAAGAAGAGAAGAGGAGAGAGAGAGACAGAGTGAGAGAGACGGAGAGAGAGAGGGGGAGGGAGGGAGAGAGAGAGAGAGAGAGAGAGAGAGAGGGAGAGAGAGGAGGGAGTGATGGAGAGAGAGCGCACGAGCTGCACATTTTGATAAAGATCATTTGATATGTTGATAACCAATAGATGAGGTTGATGTGTTGATGCATAATAAATCATTGTGTGTTTGGCAGAAGGGTAATCGGAAGCACATATATATATGCTTGAAGCGAATTTCTTGTAACTCGCATCTATGGTTTGGGTTGCTTTATTCATGTTATACCATTTTAAAACCGTAAAAGGAATTTTTCTTTTTATCGACTAATAAAGTGAAAGTAGATTAATGGTATTAAAGATAAAGTTGAGTTCTGGTCATGTGATTGCATTTTGAAAGAAACGGTGTTGAATCTATTAAAAAAGGTTGATCATCTAGTATATGAGTATTCGTGTGTATTGCAAGGTTCTGGAATCATCAAAATGATAAGAAATGTGGCCAAATCTTGGCAAAGTTACAAGCACTGTACACAGAATGATGTATATGGGACTACATGAGCACATGGCAAAAAAAACCTACCCCCCCCCCCCCCCCCCCCCGATTTTTACGATGCTCGTGTCATATTTAGAATATGAATGCATTTGAAGAACCGTGCATTTCAAGGAACATGCTTAATCTGATGTTCTTCCACCCTTGCATAATAACAATGATAACGCTCACAAATTATTTTTTACCTCTTCCCAGAACTCAACCTTCTCTTTAAATGGTGAGCACATATATTTTAAGTTACAGGCATTTAAATTGCTAGCGCAATAGTGCTTACTCCCTTCTTCCAGTTGCACTATGAAACTAATAAAAAAAAAAGGTTGATCTTTAAAAGGATTAAGGTAAAGAAAGCTGAGACAGAAAGAAAAGGGGAAAAATAGAAATAAGAAGAAAAAATAAAAAGAGGGTATATGCAGTTATATTTTCCTTGTCATAATACTTTTATTGCAAAAATTCTACAAAATAATTTCAGTTGAATTACATCTCTCTGATATACATACATGTCATAAAGTTGGATTTTGTACATACATTTATTAATTGCTCAGAGTAAAGTGCATTGTTTCTTACATCTTGTCACATTGCTAATCTTGTGTGTCGCTCTAGCCTTAAAAAAGATTTTTTTTATGGAATATTTACTTATTTGAAGTTTAACTGGTCGCTCATACCTGACATTTGTGTTTAAGATAAAGAAATTTAGCCTACCGTAACTGTGATGGCAGTCTCACTACTCATGTATGCTTGATCTCACAAAAAACAGCATAATTCCACTTTTTATAATATGAAATGGGTTCCTTCTTTCTTCATATGCATTCATGACTAGGTAATTCAGTGACCTCATGAAGTAAAATGGTCTCTGTCAGAATGCAAGGTTTATTACCTTACAAATCTTCTTTTCATCCTACAAACAAAAAATTCTCTGACCTGTTTCTCTGCTTCCTTAATTCTTATTTTTAATAAAATCATGGTTTCAGGCTGGACTCACCATCTATCTTCTTTTGTTTTTCCTTTGGTCCTTGGTCCCCAGATTGCTAGCATTACTATTGACGACATGCAATCATAACAAATGAGCATATATATATTTATATATCACGGACAATAATGGACAATAGAGGGGAAATGAAATTCTGTTAATACCATGGCAATATATGTGACAATTGGTGGTTCCACTTTCAATTACTTTCACAATATCAAACATATAATTACATGTACAAAACATGGGCATATCCAGTAACCTGAAATAGAGATTAATAGAAAATGATTTGTGGGATGTTTAGTACTGAAATTTAATGTGTCAGTTCTATATGTTACAGGTACTTAAATGTTAAATGTCCCATTTGCAGCCAACATCAAATTATGTAGAACTTTGCAGGAATTATGAATATGTTGCGTTTATGTCTTATCTTTGAAATTTAAATGTAAGCAGTGTCCTAGAATTCAATTGTGCAAGGAAACCTGTTCACTGTCTAGACTTCACTGTCATACACTATTGAATGACTTACTGACTTCATTTTTGCTTTGGTAATAACATACATAAAATGAGCTGTAAAAGATACCGGTACATGTGCATTTATGTACATCAATAACCCACTTCTTGTAAATGGCCAAAATTAACCTGATTGAATCTTTGCGCAGCACAAAACGTACACCATTCGATACAAGGGTCTAAAAATCAGACTATTTACCAAAAGGAATGCAATCCCTAAAGTTGATTCGACAACTAACGTCGTTATTTATCCACAAAAAGACATTTACAAGCCCTTTTGTTTTGAGGGAAGTTCTAAATTAGTATTATCTTTCAAATGCTTGTGGGATTTAACCTTTTCATTTTTTGGCCTGCAAATGGGACATAGTACCTTTAACAGCAATGTTAGATTTCAAACTACCATCCTAAATTATGAATACGGTAATGTAAATTAAATGTGCAGAATTAACTGAAGAAAATCTGTCTTAAAATTCAGCTATCTTTGAGAGATACAAGTACGCAAGTGAATTTTAAACAATGGAACATACCGGTACTCTGATGCAGATAATTCCATCGCTGTCCTTTTTATTAATTCCTTCCATCATTACTGATACCACATTAACGCTCTGAGGCCTGAGATGCAAGTCAACAATGAACATTAAAGCTAACGGAACAATAGAAGAGAACCACTACATAATCTAAACAATACAACCCTGTAATACACAATAAAGGCACCTAGATACAATCAGACAAACATCTACACACAGGTACAATCATACATGTACCACAACAATTAAATCAAAACAATTATTTATACAAGAAACTACATGTACACTGATTAATAGTCAATATGTTTTTACATATCTCATCATCATTGCTTGGACCATGAATTAGTGAAAGCTATCAGAGAATCAATAACTCCTTAAATGCCATTTTAGTATCTAACCCCAAATATATTTTACATTTAGTCTTCAAGTACAATGAAAGCATAAGTTTGGGATACACATTTCTTTTTTAATGACATTATTATTGATGTCACCGATTTGAGCAGTTTACATGATGGAACAAGAATATAATGATGGAGAAGAAAAAAGAAGATGAAGAAATAGATGGGAGGAGGAGAAGGGTGAGAAGGACAAAAAGAAGAATAAAAACAAGATATGAAAGAGAAGGAAAGGGGGAACACTAAGTCACGGATGAATGGGAAGAAAAAATGGGAGCAAAAGAATATATGCACTGTAGACATCTGTGTGTTGCTCTTAGCTCTTCAAATCAGACATCTGAGCAGTGGTTTTACAAAATCATATTACACTTGTTGTAATCCTAAAAGAGCTAATCAGTAAATATAAGACCATATTACCCTCTCATGCCAAAAAAGCCTATGGACTTTAAAAAAAAGTAAATATACAGTAGTCTCATATTGACCGCGCTGTATTTTGTCAGTTTCATTGCGCATCTATTATGCGTATGAGAACCTGCACACTTTTCGTGCACTCAATTGTGACGTAATAATCACACCAAAGGCACACTGTTTGCAGTGTATCGAAAATTTTGTCAAGCACTGGATGCATATGCATTGCTGATTTGACAAAGTTTGTTCAGTTCTTTGAGAACGGTCATGGTTGATTTATGTATTTGCTCTGGATGTCTGATTTGGATAACAATAAAAATATTGGCTGGCTTAACTTTCGGAAGATACCACATATATTGCCCTCACAAGACCCATATTGCCCTCGTCTTTGGCAATATGAGTCTAGTTTGGGCAATATATGTGGTATCTCCCTCAAGGCCAGTCAATATTATATAATTATTTCAAACTTTATTAATACAGGATGTGTATTCTATTGCTATCAATAAAGAGCTGCATATCACAAGTACAATATTTTAGAAAACTCCTTTGTAACCACCATTAGCATCTGACATCTTGGTTATTGCACCGTGACAGCCTTTGCCAATAACAATACTGGAAAAGTGTACTTTACCTTTTACCCCACACACATACTTTTCATCTAAATCTCTTCATACATTTACCCATTGTTCTCTAATATATGTTTATATATTTGTTAAAAATTGGACATATCATATTTCAATATTGGAAGAAATAAATACTAGTACTCTAAAGATGGTCACTATTTTCAAGATACCGTTTCTTTTCTCTCTTCTAAACCAGCAGAAATGCCAATGTGGGCTTTTCTGACACCAAATTGAAATAGTCAGCTTCCAAATGAAATTGCAAGTAATTTCATGTCAGATCGAAATGATGAGTTTTCTATTGTCAAATTGGTCATGGAAAATATCATGTTTTCAGACCTCAGTAACTAGAAAATGGTCAAATTATACTATACTTTTGTTTGAAAAGAAAACAGCAATGATACCACCATCTTTTTAAAGACTTTGCTATATATTACTAGAGAAAAAATTGTGAGACACATGTATGCAGATAAATGCATTAGCATGGTCTTCATATTGAATCAGTATGTACATATTCAGGGACTTATTTACGTTAACAATAAACAGAGATAGCAAAATAAGCTTTGACACAATAGCTGTTACAAAAAATAACATACAATATATAAATCTCCATTATATTTATACATTTCTCTACTTTTACATACCGGTATATTGTTTTGGTTTATTACAAAAATATAAAATATGCTCTTCTGCACTTTATTTGTAATAATGAGCTCTAATATTTTTTTTTACAAGCATGAACAATAAATTAAGCTTTTAAAATAAATGTACATAACTGAACAAAATGGAATGTCACTGCTCTGGCCAATTATTCTAAATTTTATTCACATACAAAGGTAAAAACAGTAGCTATTGGAACATACCCACAACTTGGTGTTTGGCAAATTTGATGGAAGATGGTATTTATTATTTTCTTTGTGCAATACTCCTCTATCCCAGCTAAATAGATACACTTAACATTAAATCAATATTTTTGTTTGATATCGGCACCAAAAGGAAGTGTATTTTCAAGCCAATTTGGGACAATTTGCAGAACATGATACTTTACAATAGGGACATTTTGTGTAAGATCTGATTTCATTTTTTTTTCATTCATATGTAAATCATGCAGCTGATCTCTAATATGAGGAATGTAGCACCGCTTTTTCTGAAGATCAGCAATATGTACCTTTTGTTCTACAAAATATTAATTTCAGTAATTAAGAAGATTCCTTCAAATATTTACAATAATTGATTCATGTGAACCCCTTCTACATTTCCAAGGATACAGGCAAGCGTTTCAGGCAATTAGTGGGAAAAAAGGAACTATCTTGCCAGTCCTGGACTGACGAAAGAAGGGTTCAGTGCCAGTTACTTACAATTACAGTAACTATTTCATATCAGACAACCACATTTAGATTCTTCTTCTTTTTTCTTTTTGGTATATGCACTGTACGCTTCTGATTAAGGATAGATGACATATTCTATCAATAATAATAAATAAACAAACTGAATTAGGAAGACTATTCAGCATACTTGATCTATATCAAGGATGGTTATCTATATAATACTCATACTCTTTCAAAATAAGAATGTATCTGATGTAGAAAAGAACCTGTGGTGATGCAAAATTTGAAGGGGATGAAAAAGCTCCTTCAAAAGAAGAATGGTTGGGGTCATGTTGATTGGACTCTACGCAGTTCAAACTCTTCTAATGGACTTTCAGTTTGAGATTGAGAGGAAATACCTCCTTGGCCTGCTGCCCCGCTCCTAAACAAGGCACGAGGCGAGAATGGCATGGGCCCACTGGGTGTATTGTTACCCGTGTTATATGCACTGCTTGGTCCTGTGGTGTAGTTACTACTGATACCACTCATGGTGTCAAACTGATCGCTGCTAGGAGTCTGAAGCTGAGGGGTATGCTGCCCTCGACGCTGCTGTTTGGCCATGTTACGCAGGGCTAACTCACTACATTCTTTGCAGAATCCCAGGATAGCATCGTAGGTAGGGGGCGGGCTCTCGGGTGTGCGTAGTCTCCATCGTGAACCCACGCTGAACTGGCTGGACGGGGAAGGGGTGAGGAAGATGTCCCCATCAGGGCTACTGGGGGAGGGGTGCATACACTGGTTGTATGTGGGAGGTATGTAGTCGTTAGGCTCTACTGTCTCCACTATAGGAATAAAGACAATTTGAAAACAAATTGGATGACTAATAACTTATAGCAGAATTAAAGGTACTTCACATGAAACGAGCAAACAAGAAAGGAAAGATCAACTTTTCAAGAAACGAAAATTGGCACATCTCGAGAAGATGTGAAGTTGGTAGTAAAAAAGAAAAATGATAGTGAGAACCATATGATGTGAAGTATATGATGTGAAGTATAGAATGTATCATATCATCATTAGATTTGTAAATTCTGATACAAAATAGATAAGTCTACATGTTAAATGATACCAGAGTCTTATATATCGCCGAATATAACAAGCTAAAATGCAATGTAAACTAATTCACTTTATTGAGGAAATACATAAGATTTGGGGATTTATTTTAAAGTTTAATTCAATTCTTCCATTATCGATTTATCCTTTATTTAAGTTTTGCCATGTTGAAAAATCAGGATGCAATGAAATTGGCATAAGACTGAAGGTAAAATTGGAAGAAAAAAAAGTGTGATTTTATTTAAATTGCGAAAAGTGAATGATAACTTACTTTGTAAGCCTGCTATATCAACCCCTTCCACACTGTAAACGTCTCTGCTAAGCGTCCGACTGTATGGACTCTCTGGCCCATCTCTCTGCTGCCTCAAGTACTGTAAGATGACACAGATACAGAGAGCCACACCAAACATGACGAGTAGAACAGCTACAACAGCAGCTCCCATCGCTATGCCATACTCCGCTGGGGAAGACGATCCTGTACACAACAAATGTCCCAAATCACTATTTTAAAATGCATCAATAAATATAAATAACAAAAGATGGACGTATTCTGGTACATGTATGTTACTCCTAATGTCAAACAGTGATAGAAGTTACCAATTTTCGAAACCTGTTTTATTTCTATTTTCACATGTGTTCTCTATTTTACAAGCTTACAGCGATATAAATGTACATGTTAAACTCAACTTAAGCGAGTGAATATACCTGAAGATAAACTATTTTCTAAAGGAAAAGAGTTGGTGATATATGAAACATGTCTAAAGGTGTACTATGATGTAAAAATTGTCAATAAAGCAAAGAACAATTTGTCAAAACTCTCATTTGCTATGTTCCCTCGAATAATATGACTCAATTTATGTAACACTGCATAGGAGCTCTATTCTACAGAGTCTGCTCAGTAATATCTACATGTATGATATTAATTTTGGTCACAACATGATTTGGTGCTTTGGTAATACCAAGCAATATGCATGGAAAATTGAAGAGGAAAATGTTTGTGTTTGACAGAAGTCCAGAGATAAGGCAGAGGTTAAGGGCAGCCAATTTTTTAATGTTACATTTAAAAAACAAATTTCTGGTTAAAACGGGGCCCTTTGGAGCATGTGCCCTCCTAAAACTACAATTGAATGGCTTCCATGCATCTGAGTCTACTAGTTAGAAAGAATAATGATGTTACTAAGCACAAGTAGAAACATAGTTCTGTGACATTAAATGCAACAATTGTATGGAATAAAATAATCATTATAATTATAATGAAAACTCTACGTATACATGTATCATTGATATGAATTGAAATTACAATTTTGATGGTGTATAAAGCATTCACATTTTCTCTCTCTCTCGCTCTCTGAATTCCTTATTACTTCTTGCGATTGCAGTTCCTCTATACTTTTTAGGATCATAACAGCAGAATTGTGATAGATGCCTTGTATATCTTTTATTCATTTGTTTATTTACAATAAATCATAATTTAATTGTGCTTGCACAGGAACCATTTTTTTATACAAATTTATTTCCTATACTAAGCCATGAAATATATCTACATGAGCAAGACAATCATCAAATGTTCAAAACCTTGACAACAGGTAACACCTTATTTCTCACATGCCTACAAATGAAAGTTCAATAAAAACAGTTTCATCATTCAAAGAGTTATTTTAGGATCTCAGGAAACACTTAGAAGTGTATGATTTCCATTTAGATGTCGCTACCCTATTTTGCTCCTCGCTTAGTCCCTACTGATCCCATTGTAAAAGTGAAGCAGCTTGCATGCAATTCCCTAGAGTCAAGTTGAGCTTGTTGCCCACTTCACCATAGAGAAAGGAAACACCATTCAGACATGTAGAAATGAATCAAGTGTGCAGCTCACGTCTACTGCCGAGGCTGGCTATTGCTTTCATCCAGCCAGCCCAATTTCAACTTCTTAATAGTAAAATTATTCTGATCTTTAATTCAGAATATTATTTAGGACAGTGAATAAAACATGTCCTCTCAAAGAAAAAGTAACAGCCATTTACATTATTCATAGCTTGCTCATCATTTTACAAAATTCAATTAGCTTTGTAAATATCTAGAGCATGTGGAACACCTTGACCAAGTATGCTGTTATGGAAATGTTATGTGAAAAAATATGTAGCAAAGAGAAAATCCATATTTGCTGATAAGTAAAGGTGTCAACAATCTTTATTCAGATTCCTTGCAGGCATGGGTACTGAAGATGAGGCAACTTTGACTAATGTGTATAGGAATTATCCTGCCATCTTTAATCAAATGCGACTATGTGACTGATAATTGCACAATGTTGCAGGTGCCTTCAACTTTACATTAAAAACAAGATACAAATGTCACCTTAGGTAGGCAGAGGCATACAAATGTTAACACAATGGTCAATTTTATATTTATGAAAGAATTTGCATGTGTCATGATCTACTGGGTCAAATTATCTGCCACAGGTCTTAAATGATATACTATAAAACAAGGAGCTTCCAATATATAACAACCATATTTGTGAACTGTTAACATCAGCCATTTTCTTGGAACAAAGATTTTGCAAATTGCAAAAATTAGGAGTTGTAGTTCAAACATTTTCGGGCATGAAACCTTGGTGAGATTTAACAATGCTTGAAATTTACATTGGTTTTACAACCAATCTGAAATATTAGCTTGGAAATGATGAGCTTAGCTTACCATTAGGAATACTATCATTGTGACTGCAATCATAACCTCGGAAGCCCGGTGAACAGGAACACACAAAGCCAAATCCTGAGCTAGTTGGAGTACATGTTCCCCCATTCTTACACGTACAACGGGCTATTACTGCTGCTAAGTGATGTCCTGATAATGATAACAAGCATATAATAATATATCATGAAAGTCCATTCTTACATTCTTCTCAAACTAATGAGTCTTAGGTCACATTTATTAAATTGTTATCATATAGTAGCATCCTTGTACTTAAGATAAAAATGTAACATTTTAAAATATATATTGTTTATTGATACACTTGGACATTTAATGATATATATTTTACATCAAAATAGTATGTTTTTGAACAACTGATTATATAACATTATCAAATCTAAACGAATAATTTGAACCCTTTATCAAAAGGATTGCAAGTTCTTCAAGAGAAAAGTTGCGAGAAGGTTGGTACACAGGTTGGCTCACATCATTTTCTCAAATTAAGTTAGAGAGGTGTTTTTCTTTATGACTACCGGTATTATATCGCCTATTTGTTTATGTTTACTTTATTTTTTAGACCATTGTTATTAGCACATGTCTATCTGGCATCTACTGCACCAATGTTCTTGTAAAAGTCTATCCAATATTTAATTCAATATAATAATTGCTGTTTAACATTATCTTCAAAAGTCACATTCTCCTTTTTAGACATTTTTTAACTATCATATGTCAATGAACATTTACCATATTTCATGTTCTCTTGTATTTTACTTTGAATATGACAATATTAGACTATAGACTTTTGCTACGTTATTTAAAATTGAAAAAAAAAAATTAAATTGAACTAAATTGAATTAAAATGAATTGAATTGAGTTGGTTAAGAATGATTAAATTAAGGTCGAGACATTGCAACTGCATGAAATTAGGAGAACAAGGAAACAACGTACATGTACAGAAAGAACAAAGAAATCTGACAGCTGGAAGTAATTTTAGCAAGCACTACAATTATCAATATCTTTTAAAAGTTGTAGGGTTTCTTACTTTTGGCCATGCCCATGAGTTCACATTTAATTCCTGAGTATTCTTCAGTACAGATGCAGTAGTATCCAAGATCTCTATACTCATCTATATTGGGTTCATCATCTTTCATACATGTACCTCCATTCTCACAATGGCAGTCTGATAGATCAATCGGTTCTGCAAATATAACAACACATGCCAACGTTAGCGCTTCGGTTGCTTTCCTCACATTCGACCACATGTGCAGTTTTGCACAAAACAATATGCACAAGCTGACGGAAGGATTGCTTTATGTAACTCAATGGCTTTGACTAATTACCCATTTTTGGTCTTGGTTAGTGCTATGACAATCCTTTTACACCTGTCTATATTACTTTGCACTGGGAACAGTTTAGTTATCTTAAAACCTTAAGTACATTTACCCCATGATAAATACTATTTTGCACAGGGATACTATTTTGTGTGGCATATAAGGAGTCAATAATGATTCTAATCAGGTGTTATGCCCCCCACTCAGTGTTATTTAGAGTACATGTATGCATGTTCCCTCTCTTTGAAAGCGCACCCTACCTCCGATGTGTAAAGTCAATACAGGCCAGATTTTTTAAAGCATCCCCTATCTCCAGTGTGTATAAGTCAATATGGGCTGGACTTTGTTGCATGAAAAGTACCCCTTTACCAGAGGTTTTGGAAGCACGAATGCTGTCCCTCCATCCCCGGAATGGGGGGGGGGGGGTATTTACTCAGGGTAGCCACATTGGCTTTAAGTGTAGAACATGAAAGTGAACCTTTGCTACCAGCCATAGAATCAGGAAACCTTATGAAAGTTTCACTATTTTGCAAGTTATCACTAACATAATATGAACAAGAACTGGGTATACATCTTTTGCATCTAGCACAATGTTGAGAATTTTAGGATCAAGACTGGGAAGATGACATCTATACCACTAACCCGCACTCTGGCGCCTGCGTAGCATTCTGGCACCCTCTCTGTTAGCTTGAAGACAATGCATTTCATCCTCATCACCCCCAAGCTGACAGTGGGGGAGCCCGTCACACAAAGCACGCTTTGACAGGCAAATCCCAGTAAAAGGGCAGCTGAAGAAACCCAAGGGGCAACTACCTTCTGCATCTGCAAAGAGACAAGAAGAAGATCAAGAAATGAAAACCAGGATGATTCATCTTTAAATGAAACAAGATACATGAGGTCAATATGAAGAATAAAACTTCATATAAGAACATAATAAACTTAAGTTAAGTTCCTTGTCTACATGCTCAACCTTTTTTGTTGTAGCATCAAAACAAAGTTCCCCTATAATTTAATAGAGAAAGAGGGAGAAGGAAGAGAGAGTGAAAAGAGAGAGAGAGAGAGCGAGAGACAGTGAGAGAGATAGAGAGAGAGAGATACAGTGAGAAGAGAGAGAGAGAGAGAGAGAGAGAGAGAGAGAGGGGGGGGGGGGGGTAAAAATAGACGTTTCTCCTGCCTTTATTCCTTTATAATTAGTACACTTTAATAAAGATAGAGAGGTTTGAGCAAGACAGAGAGACACACACACACCCACACACACAAACACACACAGAGCAAAAAAAAGATAAAGATGTTCAGTCAGGAGTCTCCTTTCACTTTCATCACTTGCAGAAATAGAGAGAGAGAGAGAGAGAGAGAGAGAGAGAGAGAACCCCTGTCATCCATAATCACTTATACCCTGCCACTCAATACATCATTTTCAAGTTCTTTGTCCTCACAAATGCAAGGAAGAGCGTATATGTCACGAAAAGTTATTATACAGTACGTGACGCATTCCACATAAAAATGCTGCAGTTAGCTACTGCAGCACATGATGCAATAACATTCTAATTTTTCTTCGAGCAGAGAAGAGGTGCTGAATTGCGAAAAAAGGGAAGTACAAAGGATAGATGTTCATGTCCGATTACACCTTGGGGCTTACAATTCAAATTCATGCAAGATAATAAGCATGGGAGCTGGATTGTCATTTTCAGGTAATCTCTTTGTAATTGCATTGTGAATTTAGATTTCCAATCCATAGTAATGTCAGTTGGCTAATAACAAGGCATCAGAAGATTGTCTACGATTACAGTCTAATGTTTAAATTCATGTGTGCTTTGCAGCTTGAAGACATTTACATATCATCAAAGAAAAATACTCACTTTAATCAAATTGAAGACTAGCTTTAATATATGTAATGGTTATCCTGTTAGTGGATTTCAGGATACTAGCACATCTAGAATAACAGCAGAATGTATTACCGTAATCGTTTTTATAATGAAGTAGTATGGTTTGTGTGACTGTTTTCTGCTATTATCATCATAGTAGCTAAGTTAAAAGAAGCATCTTAAAAATGTGAATAAACTTCAATCTACCAACGAGACTGCCTTTTTACAGCATTTGGACAGATGCTTGGCTTTAAAGTGTGGACATTGGCAATGTGGGCTTTGAAACTGATGAGAAATGGATAAGATAGTCAATCCTACATTTTAAATCTTCTAAATAAATCTAATTCATATACATGTTACCCTATTCTTCCTTACCGCACAGAATGAAAGCATGACCTAAATAAATAGTCCTGAGTAAAATTAAACCAACATTACGACCATTGTGACCAAAGGAAATGTGTTGAATTAGTCTCCAACGGCTTCCTCTAGCTACGTTTCTTCTCTGATACACAGTGAACGAGTCATAAATGTGTATTGATGAAAGAGAACTGCTCATTTCAATCCATAAAACTTCTCTTAGCAAACACCCAATGATTCATCGACTGTCAATGCGCCTTGCCTTCCTCACACCTTTCTACTTGTAAGTCTCTTTCACTCTCTCTCTCTATCTCTCTATCTCTCTCTCCCCCTCTCACTCTCTCTCTCTCTCTCTCTTCTCTCTATTTCTCTCCCACCACTCTCTCTCTCTCTTTCTCTCTCTCTCTCTCACTCTCTCTCTCTCTCTCCCATCTCCCTCAGCCTCTTCAGACCAAATGGAATTCATATGAGACCTGTATGAATAAATCTGATATTTGAAAATGCGGATAGATACCTTCTCGTTTAATTTCTTTTCCTTTAAATGTCGTATAACAAATTATCCTATAGCGAAACGGGCATACAGATTCAACAAAAACATTGTATTAGAAACTGGGTTGAAGGGGTCAGTTGTCATGACAGCTGGCCAATCATCAGTGCATGTTTGTGATAAGCTACGTCCAGTTATACCATTTGTGTACGATATGATGATAAGACTAGAACAAGATCCTGATTCTCTATTAAGTCTTAGTTTGAAACGATGCTGAAACTGGCATTTTGTTATACAGCATTCAGACTAGGGCAAATTGAATGACTTATCGTATAGCTATACAATGAATTGTGATAGTGTGAACTCTTTCCCTGTCTCTACAGGATATGAATAGTCTCTTGTTGTTTTTACATAAATCCTTTCCTTCCACGCCACTTATCTCTTTCCTTCAACCTGTATGATAAAGCAATAGCTCAGATGACATGTGTTAAATATTTATAAATACTTAAATTTCCTATGGATACTGGATTAAGCCATGGCTTGCTGTTGAGTTTCATATTATATTTCTGGTTGACGTTAGTGTTTGCTCAAGGGTTAATGTTGGGAATATGACAGATGTAAGAAAGAGATCAAAGAACAACCTGCCACTATTTTAGATATGTCTTCTTATCTTATACATGTATATTATGTTAAATTGTTATATTTCTTAATTGCTATTGTATTGCTGCATTACAATTCCAATTCCTTTCAAATTAAACAATGAGCTGACGAGGATCCTTACAAATTCTTTGATTGTTTTATTCATACTACCAGGTCTGCATATGAGGACTACCACACGGGACTGTGTCTTCCGCACTCAGACTCTCAGGCCCATGTAATATGAGTATTGTGATCATCTCACCCCCTCTATACCATCACCTTGGCGATGGTAAAGACGGGTGATCGAGATGCCTCCTCCTGTCAGAGACGACGGAGAGGAGAGGCTTTCATCGTCTGATTCCATTTCACTCATCGACGAAAGTAAATCCTCTAAACGTGATGTAAATGTCTGAATTTTGTGCTATGCCGCATCAAGTGCAATCTGCAGGCACAAACTCTTCACTGTGCATAGTGCAAGGCCTGATATATCTGAGCTGCAGACTACACTTGCATTTATAAACCCAGCACTGTAGTTGTTCCTGACAACATTCAACACCACCAATGACTGAACAGTGGATTTAGGCTTGGCCCAATTAAGTCATCATATAATTACTTGTAATGCCTAAATGAAGTCTGTATAAGCAGACTATGTCAATTACTCCTCCAGGCAACATGTATTTCTCCATCTTGCACCCGGCCCACTCTGTTTCATCTTCAGCTTCCATCTTTCACACTTGGATTGAAATATTGTTCTCCTTTCTTTACACCGTGAATTTTCTGCAAGTGCTTAACCCTAAGATTTATATGTGACTACATCTTATCACATTTCATTTTAGAGAAAATAGATTTAGGCCAGAATGGTCTTTTGATGAAGTCACTGTCCACTCTCTCTCTCTCTCTCTCTCTCTCTCTCTCTCTCACCCCTTCTCTCTCTCTCTCTTTCCCTCCCTCTTTTAAGAAGCCTACTGACACCTGTATACGTGTAAACCTCAGTTTTCACCACTTCAGAAGTACAGAGGTTTACCAGGTCAAAAGAGTGCTTTAATAATAGAAGGATTAAACAAAAAATTGTTTTCAATAATAAGGGGTGATTTTTGTCTCTCTTACCAGAGTTTGAGCAATCAATTTTGTATGGTACATATAACAGCAAATGTAGATATTCATATATGGATGGAAACAGGAGATTTAAAACATACTAAAAGAAGTAAATAGGACATTCAAACACAAATTTGAGAAATAATAAAAGCCCATCGATGCTGCAAGGGCACTTGAGTGAAAGATGGATCTTGTTTATTTGAATTTGATTAAATCAGCCACTAAACTCACAAGCTTGGGTAATTTGTTATTCATCAGAGCATAACCACCGGGTCAGCAGGGCATTTGATTGGACAGCTGTTGGATGGGTAATCATGCAAAGATTCATTCAATCAAAATTATCCAGGTCAAATCATGTCTGCAGAGAGACAAGAGAGGCAGGCACCTCAACTGCTCATATAACCGACACCCTCCTGTATATCAATGCTAAGACAATGTCAATGATCAATACAAGTTTTCTCAAAATTAATTTGAATAAGAACAGGAATTTGAATTCAATTCAACTTGAATTCAACCTAAAGTAGTCAAACCTGCATCTGCAGCCACCTGTGTATGAAAACCACCTGTCTACAAAGACCAAATTTGGTATAAAACTACTCCTTTATACACAGGTTTGATGTGAACACTTTGAGTGACACTGTGTAGCAGATATGAGCACCATCTAAACTTGAAACCAATTTCATTACTATTGTTCATAACATTGAAATGTTGTCATTTGATACTAATATTTACTACTTGTGTTGTGACCCCATAGAAAATGAAGATCTATGCTTTTGAGACTTGAAATTAAAGCAATCTTTTTTTTATTGTTGGATTTATTTAACACAGATTGCTGGATTGTCTCTGAACGGATGCCAATAGCTTTTAATATCATGTATTACGTATGAGGCAGGAACCTCTGAACCCCCAAGGTATACAGCCGTATAATTTACATGTATGCATATATGTATGTACTGAGAACAAGAAGGGAATTCAATCTTATTATCTTACACAGAGTGAACGTCCTCCTGGCTCTCTCTCTACTATCGTCATGCATTCTCATCTATCTTATCTGCATGACTACACATTTCATCATTTGCATAATGCAACCCTCTAAGCCATCATACATAGATTCATACATATGTCCTTGCAGAAATTAAATTCTCAGAACAAAAAACACTTCAAAAGCAGGACAGGTGTGCAAATTGCACGTGTTATTCACATTATTAGCGATCCAATGGTTAACATTCCATTATGGCAGATCTTACGTTGAAAAAGTGAAAGAAGTATTAATGGAATATACCCCGGGCGGGCCTAGGGTTGCTATGATGCGAGGCAATCCTTCTTGCCCTGGAGATGACTGAAGCGAAACTTAATCCGGCATGACAGCGCGTAATGAC